ATTATGCGCAGGCGCTGCTCTTACTTGCTAGGGCTACCTCAGATACTTACTGCCCTAGAGCCTAGAGCCTAGAGCCAAAGCACACGATTTTGTTGATAATATGGAGCCAAAAATACAATGTGTTTATCAAAAAACTTGCTAAAAGGGAACCGATAAGGAATTTAATTTAATTTTTTCATGGCTTCGTGTTCCAACGTAGTAAGGTTGTGGAAATTAATTCTAAAATAAAAAAGTATTAACCTGGGCTCACACCTCCATTGAAAGCTTTTCGATAACAACACTGAAATCAATCTACACGAAAAATTAGTTTAAGGGTAATTCAAATACCTGCCTATTGTGGAATAGGATTTAATTAAAGTAAGGTCATGAAGAGTAACAAATGAAGTAGGTATTCGGATTTCCTTTCTGCCCTTTATTGAAACTTTCAAATTTATGTGGCAGCCCTACAGCAACGCAATATGGCGTCGTTCTCGCGCCAATACCGCACATCCGGTGCCATCAATGTATCGATTCAATGAATTTATTGTTTCGACTGAGAGCCTGCCAAAGTGCCAACGTACGATATAATCGATTAGCGAAAATCGAAAACATTTATGTAAACGCATAAACTTTGTAAAATTTTTAGTTCATGAACTGATCCATAGACAAATTTAGCTACAAATATAGGTACGAACTGTCAGTCGTTGTAATTGACATTGGCAGCTGTATTGATTAATGGTTCGAAAAAGAGTACTTACTGACTGATGTAACCACTGAGCTAAAAAGAACCTACGTGGGTGCGAGTCCCGGCTCAGGCGATTTAATTCAAGTAGAAAATCACGTTTATGATATTATTATACCTCTTAAGCGCTAAATCTTGGTCTAATAAATTGAATAAAAGGAACTTAATTTCATATTAATACAGAAATCCCAATAAACAACGTAGAAAAAGTAGTAATTAATTAGATACTTATAGATAATCGCAGAACAACTATGGGACAATGTATTAAATGTATAATTATAACTTAAAACCAAAAGATAATGTCTGCTATCATTACCATCTTAATTTTTCCATTGTTTTGTTCGCTTAATTGGTAATTATACACGTTTTGTTCTATCAAGATTTATTAACTTGACGGCCGAATGCATAGCTCTAGGGACGGATTATGGAAGCCCTCGATTCTCAAACGTCGTATAAGTAAGTACGAAGAGTCGTGTACGAATTCCACTGCAGATGTATCTTGAAAGCACTCGAATTGAAACTTCATTTCACATACGAAAATGGTCATGTGCGAATTATTTTTCCATTGGATTTACGTATTTCATCATTAGTAGATCATTTTATGTCCGTTTTCATCACCTAATTTTTAAGTCACCCCTAGGGTAACACTTATCAGGAATTTTGTTTTCATAGGGGTCACTTAAAAAATGGGGATTGATGGTGAAAACGGGCGCATAAGTCTCTGCTACAGGAGGATTTAGCAAGTGATAGAAACGTAAATAGGTTTTGATGATTTTAGCTATTACGTGTGCAATTGGATTTCCATTGATCCAAAATTACGACTGATTTCTTGCCGGAAAACTTAGATGATCATTAACAAACATTGAACAACGTATTAATCAATCAGCGACTTAATTGGTGTGCTAAAAACTCTACCGACATGAAACATGTCGAACAAATACTTATTAAACAAGCTGTTCGGAATAAAATTGTATCAAGGTGTGTCATTTTTCCTAAAAAACTTGTAATCACGTTGACGAAATGCGTCTGCAAATAGACAAACATTTTATCGGTCTCAATGCAATGGCATTTTGAACCTTTGAATAATCCAAAAACAGTTTTTTTCACGCAAAAGGTTACTTTGTATCGCCTCATCATGATCAGTCTATAGATGTCCACTGCTGGACATAGGCGCCATTTTGCCCTGTATTTTACTTGTCGCATCCAGCTTCTGCCTTTCGCAAGTCGTCTCTTTGCCTCTGCTGAAGAACCTACACTACGCTTGCCGAGTCTTTAGTCGTTTCACACCAAAACGCGAAGGGCAAAACGCCCAAGACCAGTCATTCAATCGGTCTTTTTGCACTAGTAACTTGGAACGGTCAGGATGGCTCTAGGAATCATTTGTCCCGATCCGAACCTTTCTTTTTTTCAAGTGGAATTGGACCAACAAAAATTCATGAACTTGAATTTGTTGAGGCAATTCACGTAAGTACCTACCAAAAACTAAACTTAGACGATACACATTCGCGGTCAGAGTCACTCGTGGTGCGAAACGGCTGAAAACCCGTCGCGTTGAGGCGAATCGCCTGCCGTAAACAAATACCTACCTACATTCTCGTGCAGAAACACGTGAACGTCTACGTGTACACTTGAGATCAACAATAAACACTTCCTTCCAAACAAACATGCGCTAACAAAATATTAAGGCGACCGGGTACACCTACACATTATAATAATGATCACCACAATCATTGAATGCGTAATAAATAAGATAACGCACTCACTTCCTAACGAACCGTCGGCCGACCAATGATAAGGGCCTTCTAGGGATAGGACAATGGGCTCTCGATGTCTTTGATGTCGATATCGATGTTTGTAGGAAAACGCAACACTCATTATCGCCGCTTATTTTATACTTTACATTGTAACTAATTACATGAGTTCTAACTACGAAACAGCTAAGATAAGTCTTGTAGAATCAACTTAGTAGGTATGTATTAGTTAGAGTATTAAGGGAAAGATTAAAATATTATGTCATAAGACTAAGATACTTTCTTAATTAACGATAGTAAGTATCTTACTGAATGATATGACTCCTAATCTTATCTAATCGTTGATATCGCTAGTTTCAAAACTTAATGGAACTGACTAGAGTAAACTGTCACTTGTTTGCATCTTATCAGTCGCTTCATAGCGTCGTCTACGCCAGAACTGTCGACAAAAAACGTTGTAATGACATCGACAAATAAACAACACTAATCTAATATCAGAGTAATGTATGGCGACCTACCATTGTACTCAGTGCGTCATGCTAGCAGCACGGCCACCGCAAAATAAGCGTTTTTCCTTCAATTAATACCTCTTTGTAATAAATATAGACTTAGTTAACAACAACCAGTGCTGTGAATATGTAGTTTGGTGTGTCAAGTGCAGACATGGATGTGAAAATTGTAGTTGACGACGAAGTTGTAGTGAAGGCAAGACCGAAAATGTTTAAAATGATGAGATCCAAGACATGGATCAAAAAGGTGGGTAGGTACTTGATGGGCGTGACCTATGCCAATCTAAGTGTTCTATAAGTTTATTTAGTAATTTATGTAATTATAACTAAGTATAGCTACACCATCATACTTCCGAGCCCTATTACGTACTATGCCACCATCATCAAAGTCCTCCGTATAGAAATTGGTCCTAACGCCTGTTTCTGAATGCTCACAATCGCCCGGTCAAAGGATACTTTGCTAAGATTATTTATACAGGCGTTGTTATGTGCTATTGTCGTTAAAGAAAATGATAAGTATTGTTTATTTTTATTGATAAACATTATTCTTAGCATCTGACACCTCACAAGTGATTTTAAACATTAAATAAATTGTTTATCAATTCAACTTGCACATTATTCGTCTTTTTCAGTCGCGGATATGTATTTATTAACTGCCGTTTCCTTATGTAGGAAATACGGAATGAAATTATTTATTTAGTCATGTACATTGTTGTGGCTGTTTACTGGAATTCATCAGCTGTCTACAGCATTATCCTCAATGTTATGATTAGGATTGAAGTTAAAACTCCTACTTTGATAGTGAAATCAAAGATGAAAATACTTAAGTCCCTACCTACTACGGGCAGCAAAGATGTGAATGGAAACTTTATTCAATTAGTAGTTGACCTAACGCGTGGGCAACATTGCTCTACGAACCGACCTCTTATTTGAGGGAATGATTCTCAAGAATATGCTCTTCAATGGGACACATAAAAGATCTGTCAAAGTAAAGTATTATGACAGATTAAATTCGCTTTGCCTCCTGGGGTTTTTGTAGCAACAGGATTTTACAATGATTTTGCATTTACGTAGCACAAACGTACAGGAAAACACACCCACAGTGGTTTATCAACGAAATGCAATATGTATATTATACAGACGAGAGCACATCAGACTATACATTTTGTAGCAAAATGACCGCTATTACCACTGTAATAATGCTAGACAAGCTTGACGTGCTCGCGTCTGTAGTGCGTAAGTAAGTGCAATATTGTCGTTACACTCTTTAGGTTGGTAGAGCATTTAATTTTCAGTAAGGCTAGAAGTTTGCCCAAACGCATTCATAATTCATTTATTAATTGCATTATCTAGTTAATTGGTAGTTATCTTAATTTATGCAATATTGACGTTTTAAAATCATACTGTATAATTTCAAATTAATTTAAACCAATAACAGTGTTTTAGAGTCGTATGCCAAGTATGATTTATAACATCTTCCTCGATTGAATACGGACGTCGATATTCGATAAGTAGCCGAAAACATTATAATTATAATTAAATACCCAATATAGTAACAAAAAATGTGAAAGGTATTGCGCTATTGTTTTAATTAAAATAGCTTAAACCTAAATTAAATGGGGCACACACGCTCTCATATTTATTATGTGTAACTCCTCCGAGGTTGAGGATTCCAGGTGAAGCTCGCTTCCACCTTCGGCCTGATCGTCACTTACCATCAGGTGAGATACAGGCCAAGAACTTCCTCGTTGTGGATAAAAAAAAATTAAAAAAAATCTTTCTTCTAAATCTCGTATTTCTACACCCGGCAGACCACAGACTTTTAGTCGGCCGATAGTTTGGTCGGGCTGTTAATCAATATGAACATGTATGTATGGATGTGCGCACATTACACCGATTTGATATCAGCAGATTCAACAAATTGGAAGCCGAACAAACTATCAGCCGACTATGTCTGTACTCTGAAGAACTATGTTGCAACGTGCATCCATAATAATAATGATGTATCTCTTCTTCCAGGAGAATATTAATGAACCGTCAGTGAAGTCGTCGGTGCGCCAGTATGAGAGGCTGCAGGACTGGAGCCCTACCTCGGAGCGGAGCCGAGTGGAGCTGGAGCGGAGCTTCAGCAAGGCCAACTCCGACAGCCCACCGCTGGCCAGGATCAACAAGAGGCTGGGTAAGAGAGATACGACCCTTTTTCATCAGAAAATGTCATCGTAATTCCAGCAGTAGTTAGGCTCCGTACATAGGTCTGAATTTGGCAATATCACTTTTATTATGGATGCCTCAAGCTATATGCTTACGACGAAGTCGCAGCGTTTGTGATTAATTTTATCGTATCAACCTACAGGCCTAGACTTGGAGATATGACTATATTCGCGTCACGCTGGACTTACTACGTTTAAGACTCAAAAGAGGCCCTTGAACTTCTTCGTACGTGCACAGAATAATAATAATAAGTACTGTACGGGTGAAAATAAATCACAAACATAACTAAGACAAGTAAACAGCCCAGACAATAGAAAGAGAAAAACCTTACTAAAGACCATGCCAATGGAAACAAACAAAAATACGAACTAAAAGTAATACACACTATAGTCGCTACGAAGACACAAGACTCTTCGTAGTGGTCATTGTTCTAATCATGAATACCAGCTCAAGCACCATCTGCTTTTCTAAAAACCTACCATTCTAAATTACAGGTAACTCCACCGAAAACCTCCTGTTCCCCAACAACCGAAGACCGAACCATCTACAGCTGCCAGCATCTTCGTCCGGGGACAGCCTGGATGTGGAGATCCGGGAGAGAGAGCCAGGGTATACTAAGAGCCGAAAATCCCGGTCCATGGTCGCTCCAAAGCACCGAATGAGGTCCCCAGTGCCTGCACCAAGGATGCTGCTTCATCAGCCCGCTGAGGTAATTATGTATACCTCACTTTAAAGATCTCCATCGTTCGTTTCAGCCGAAAGACGTCCACTGCTGGAAAAAGGCCTCCCCCAAGGATTTCCACGAAGACCGATCCTGCGCCGCTTGCATCCAGGCACCTCCCGCGACCTTCACCAGATCGTCGGTCCACCTTGTAGGAGGCCTGCCCACGCCACGTCTCCATAAGTTTACTATAATAATATTAATACTTAAATCATACGTTTTGTTGTTGTTATCAGCAATCAAACAACTGCAATTTCCTCTCATGTAGCTAAGATCTTCAGTTTTGCTACCAATAAAACCAACAAAAGCTAACTTTGTCCCAAGATAAGCTAATGGAATACATTGAAATTAGGAATATTATCGGGGTTTCCTACTTTTAAAGTGAAATCAATGAGGGCTATCGTTTTAGCGCTCACCAGTTAGCGCAACTGTAGAGTAAGGTCCTGTCACTTGCTAGTAGCGAAGACAGTGGCACCAACTTGTGAGCGCCAAAGTGGTAGGAGGACTATCGCATTTGCACTCATCAAGATGGCGCCACTGTAGAGTAAGGTCCTGTCAATCGCCAGGGGTGCCAACTGTTAAGTATAAAAACGATAGCCCTCATTACGGCTTACTTACGGCTTGACAATCAATCTATGGTTAGTCTTCGAAACACGACAAGAAAATTGACTAGTTACTTCACTAAGTTCACTAAGTTCACTAAAATTTTTTACTCCACTAAAGTGTGGTTTTATCATTTTTCTTCAGCTTCAGAATATGCATGAGTTTGAGAATTGCATTTTCCGACGCAAAAAATGTTAGTTAGATTATTATAAATCTTACTACGTCGGGGTCATATTTTATATTGACGGAGTTTACACTCTTACGCCCGTATTTACAAACGATGCTTGCTTAAGTGAAGCAGAAAATCGAACGCACAGCGTTGAATAGAGCTCTGTGATAGCTTCGTGTGTCACCCTGTGCGCTGTGCGTCTACGCACACTAAGAACTCATAGTAATATTTGTGAATACGTTAGTTCAATTCGAATCAAGAATCTTCCTGTCCATTAAGATGATGATGTTAGATGATGATATAATTTAACTTGTTACCTCACCCCTTCCAGGCGACAGTGATCCTCGAAGGACCAGTGAAGCGCACCAAGTTCTCGGAAAGCGGGAAGAAGAGCAAGAAGAACTGGAACGACTGCTACATGATCCTCACCCCGACCGCGCTCGTCTTCTACAAGGACCAGAAGACGTATCTGGCAACTGTAAGTCAATATCTTATCAAATTCAAATTGTCCATTCTTCTTCTTGTCGTGTCGACACAAACCTACACAGTGTCAGCCCAAAATTCCGCCTTCATTAAATCTTCCTACGTGCAGTTGTTTGAGCACCCAGGGCACGACATCATGTGCTGCGTCGACTGGGGAACAAAACCACACTTCCACTCCAAGTTTGAGCCATCCAAGAATCAAGAACAGATAGTTCTTACTACGGCCGACCTGCGTCCAAAGTCTATTTAAAAGACTTCCAGCTAAGTCAAGGGAGCTCTTGTCCAAGTGGAAGACTCTTAGAAATAGGGACAAAAGGGCTTTGTCTATTTCTGCAAAAAGGCTCCCAAAGAGCACTTTTTCACGTCCCTACCACTGCATCAAGACCGTAATATGGGCCAGTGCTGAGGCCTGAGAAGAAGCAGCGCAAAAAACTCACATCCGTATTCACAAACGAAGGTTGCTAATATTAGCAACTAAAATTTCACTTAAAACAGAAAATCGAACGCACAGCGTTGAATAGAGATATGTGANCTCTATGATTGGTTCTAGTGTGACCCTGTGCGTCCACACGCACTTTGAGACCTCATAGTAATGTTTGTGAATATGAACGTCAGTCAGTATCAGCCATTCCAATATATTTTTATAGTTCGTATCAAGACTTGTGAAATTATTGCAATGACGTAATATATGATTAATCTAATCCAAAGTGCAACGATTTCTGCTGTATAATGAAATGACGTTGTATTGAAATGCGCACGTAAATAATGACAATGTTTTATTGATCGTAAACAAATGACTCTCACTCGTTTGACTCTTTACTTGCACTCGGCTTGAGTAGCATAGGATCACCGCCACTCTTCCCGTGGTTGTCTCTTATGTAAAGAGGTGATTAAAGGAGAATTAATTATTGCTGATATAGAGCCCCCCCAACTCATCTGGCTAACCTGGGGAGTGTAGGTCAAATCCTCCGATTGGGAAAAAGACTAATTATAATTGGATTTTGAGATTCGGAACATTTCTGTAACACAAGACTTGCACTTGGGGAACCATTTTCACGAGAACGACCGCGATTTGTGAGAGAATAGCGTGTCGTTTCCTTTGGCGTAGAAAATAGTCGAATGATGATGATGAAAGCCATTACTTAGCGTTAAGAGTCGCATCTCCAACAAAATTATAAATAACTTGAATAAAATCGAACCGCCTAAGGTGGGAATCGAACCCAGAGCCTTTCGCTTGCCGGGCGACTGATCTTCCGTTCATGGGTTGATCGTGGGTTGAAACTTAATGATGATGATGACCAGTTCTCTCATAAACATGTATCTTTTCCAGCGCATGCCCAAGCCGCCGGGCACGCCGCCATCGCCGGCGGCGCCACGCGCAGAGCTGGTGCTGCCTCTGCGTAATGCCCACGTGATGCAGTGCATTCAAATGCACACCAAGAGGTGAGGACACTTGTAGAAGACATTTCGCCCTGTCCTTTAGAACCCCAATGCTAAAATTCTCAAGAATCACTCAACTCAGAGCCCTAAAGTAAACAAAAAATACTTCTTAATAATCACTGACCATAAAAGCCCATCATCATCTCAGCCATAGGACGTCCACTGCTGAACATAGGCCTCCCCGAATGCTTTCCATGTTGCTAGTGTCCGACCGAAGCTTCGGCTTCGGCTTCGGCTTCGGCTTCGGCCACCTTCGGCCAAAAAGTCCACCTTCGGCAAAACATTCGGCTTCGGCCCAAAGCCCGGCCGAAGCCGAAGGTTTCGCCGAAGGTCCGAGCGACTGCCGAGATTAAACGAACTGTTACGAATGTCATGAGGCGGCGGGGAGTCACTGTCAAAATATCACATTGCATGCATCAAAACAAGTTCGTACGTGTTTTTAAACGAGTGTTTTGTTTTGAATTTGTGCTTATCTTTTAAATTGTGATAGATTAGTGTTGATTTACAAGTGAACAAGTGAAAAGGACAATCCTCACGTATTTGTTTAGTATTTAGTAGGAAATCAATAGGTACCTATTTTGTATACGGTAGTTATTATGAGTTAATATAAATTTTCTATTAGTAACGACTTAATGATATACATATTTAGTAAATGAATGAATTAGGATCGTTCATGTTTTTCTCATTAATGTTTTGAGTTTTTATTTTAGAACTTAATATCATTTCTAGTGTATATTAGGTTTATTACACTTAAAAACTTAGGTACTTACACACGCGATATCCTCCGTGTTTAGGGCTTTGGAGGAGCTGATATTTAACATAGGTTTGGATTTGTATGTTATACTCTCATAGGTAATTATTATAATTTCTATTGGATATAGTTTGTTAGGAAATGTTTATTTTGTTGTTAGAATCATTTCATAGTTCCAAATTAATAAATTGGATTTCCAATTTAAAATTAGCTGTATAAAGACTAGGTATTTACTGTTTGGTATTTAATTTTAATATTAATTGTAGCTTGTAGACAATATTGAACAAAATAATTGACTGAGTGCTGAGAGAATATAAACCTTCGGCTTCGGCTTCGGCTTCGGCCGAAGGTCGTGGCGATAGCCGATTAATCGGCTTCGGCTTCGGCTTCGGCCAAAAATACACCTTCGGTCGGACACTACATGTTGCCCTGTTGGTAGCGGCCTGCGTTCAGCTACTTTTTGTTATCTTTGTGACGTCGTCGGTCCACCTTGTGGGTGGGCATAAAGCCCATCCAGTTCCAAAAAAATTTTGCTCGTGTTCGATACTACTAATAAACGGGAAAGTTCATGAGGATGAATGAAGAATGAAGTTGAGCATAAATTATCAGCACAACTAAACCCTAAACAATAATGTGTCCACATAAACATTCAACATTCGGTACTTACCTTCTTACCGAATAGCTCTGCTATCAGCCACTACATCAAATTGATCCTAATATTGGTTACGAAACTAAGTCCTGACCAAAACCTGGTTGTTTACAGGTACACGAGATCGATGGTGCTCACGGTCGGGTACGACCAGTACCTGCTGCAGGATGAGACGGACGAAGGCGCTAAGCGGTGGCTGATGAACATCCAAAACATTATCTACAAGCTGGTAAGTTTCAGGTTCTTCATCATCATCATCATCATCATCATCATCATCATCATCATCATTATTTCAGTCCTAAGACGTCCACTGCTGAATATATCCTTCGATGGCCGGTTGGCAGCGGCCTGCAACCAGCGCCTTCCCGCTTACTTTATGAGCTGTGCAACTTTGAGCTTATTTATATCTAGGTAGGAGTTATAATTTAACTGATTCGCTCACACTTTTCTTACAAATATAGGAAAAGTCGTGTGTGACGTCACGCTGCTTTAAAAAGCAGCTGATAAGCATTCAGTGATATCATGATGATGTAGGTCATGACGCTCTGTGTGATGTTCTTTTAATTTAGTATTGTTGATATCTTATAAAACCGCTCTTGTGTGCATACAGGGACTTTAAGGGCTATATTTCACCGGAACACCATGGCGGCGCAACCAGTCGCCGCTACCAACAAAATGTATACAGCTTTGCGCAACCAAACGGACACCAGGTGAATAACTCTATAGAGCTGTATACATTTTGTTGGCAGCCGGCGACTGGTTGCGCCGCCATGGTGTCCCGGTGAAATATAGCCCTTAGAGAATATGAACCGTACTCCGACCTAACTGACCAAAAATATGTAACACATTAAAGAAAAGCCAATATAAATGTTAAAATTTCTTCCTTCATTGTCCAGGGTCCTCCAATGCTGGAAGACTTCCACTCCCCGCAGTATACAAGCAGCAATACAGACCTGGAAAGCCTGGGCAGGACCCCCCCAGCGGCCCGCCACGCCACAAGGAACAAACACAAAGGTTGGTCCCACAAATATTCCTAGCGTACCCCAAGGCACAGTTTTATGCCCAGCGCGACTTTGTCAAAGGCCTTCCAGAGATCTCTGAAGATGGGAAGAGGTATATTTTGAAGTGAGTATTTGATTGATGTATAATTTTATCGGGGCTACATTTTTCTTCTAAGTTCTATGTTAAGCATGATTGTATAGTTTCTTTTGCTAAAGATACTAACAACGTAGCTCTCTTCTTTTTGTTTGAATTCATATGATGTTGATTTTTCTGTAGAATCTGTTTTGATTCTGCCTTGTCTCTCAAATTAACCGAATATTCGTGTAATTTATTAGAATTAATTAAATGAGTCTAAGCAACCTACTCATCTCGGTGGTTATGATCAAAAATGTTGAATAATTCATAGTTATTTCCTAGTACTGTTAAGTTGTTGTTTACTTGTCGTCCAATCCGTATCATGTCAGCTTCCCGGTAAACTACTAAGTTTAACTTATTTTCCTTGTTCAGTTTTATTCCAACGTTGCGCGTTGTGAAGTTTAGGTGTTTGTTTTAATTGGCATTTATGTTGTTCTCTTAATTAAATTCGTCTGTTTTAACTGATTGGACTTACATAATTTCTTCCTTTGATTTGATGTTGTTACTTCAATAGTGTGTGTAATGGAAGTTTATAAATGAAAATAGTGGACTGTATGAAATTAGTTATCTATTCGGTATAAATTTACAATATTATTGAGACCGTTTAGTGCAAAGTCGTTGAAGAGTGTGCGTCAGGATTGTCTTCTTCGATGTTCGCTCGCGAACTGAACATTGCTCGTTCGTTCGCCGAACGCTCGCCGGTCCCTCCGGTCAAGCCACCCACGGGCAATGTCCGTGAGTAGACAGATGTTGTGATATTTTTAAATCGGGTTCAATTTGATTCCAAATTCACATCACAAAGTGTAAGTGGATTGACAATGGCTTTCTGTGGATGCATATTGCAGACTGCGTTACTTCATATGGATTTACGTAAGTTAATTAGTCCATTTAATGTGATAAAGTTATCTTTTCCTGTAAATTAGATTTCAGTGATTACTAATTCCTAATGAGTAATGATGTTTTACGGATCTTCACTTTTTTCGTCATTGTTTTCGTAATCATCACACAAAACACAAACATTGACTAATTAATCATTAACACGTGTTCTTCCTAGGACTTTGTGATTGTCTTACAAAGTATTCTTCTATATTGAGTTATATTCAACTTGCTTGCTGGTAATTATCTACAAAAGCTTTTTATCGTTGATTAAAATTATAAGCCACGATATCGAGGGTCCTTTATCTGTAGATAGTGCTTCAGTTTAATCATTAAATCTATAATTGGAGTTCAGTCAGACATTATAACTCTAACCCTCATCCGAATAGAATTTAGGGAATTTCTGGAAGAAACCATCACATAAAATACCACGTACTGGAATACGAAAAATATCAATCACGAAAAATAAATAAATTCTCCGACGGGAACTTACCTCATGTGTGATTATTTTAAATTATATTATGAAATTATCGTGGATGCATTCTGCAACACACGATTTAAAACACAGGGGATTACATCCCCGAAAATAATCAAATTGCGGTTGCGCACGATCGACAAATTCCTAAGTGATTTGACAGCTCCACTGACAGCCGCTCTGTCATAGACATCGCGATACGTTTCGTTTCGCCGTTTGAAAAAGTAAATACTGTACTAATAAAACCATGATGAAAACAATTTCCAGAACACTGAAAATATTCCATTTGAAAAATAGAATAATCAATATAAAAACACTAGGAAATGTTTCAATAAAATATATTTGAATTGACTGAGCAAAAAGCGCCATCTATTGCAAATTAATTCTAAATCACGCCAATAGATGTCGCTAGTGGTATCCTAAATCCAAATATCGAGAAGAAATATCAATTTGTGAAAACAGCCAAAATTGCAACGCTACAAGGAACATTTCCTGGAACTTCGAATAAATTGCAATAAATAATCCTGTCTAATAATTATGAAACAAATGTTTCTTCGTAATCAAAATTAAATTAGTTTTGATCTAACATAAATACTTTGTGTATTAGTTTATTCTAACGTAGGTATTATCTTCTATAGCAGATGCACATAAGTGGCTTGAATTAAGCTGATCTTAAATTGATACCATATGATAAGAATAATTAAGTAATTAATCTTCCGCGAGAACAATACCTGACTGCGAACAAGCGGATCAAACCGGGTTTTCCTTTAATCACTGATCAATGGTTGCATAACAATAAGTATGATTGCGGTCAAATTAATGTCTTCTTTCCCATATGCGATCGTGACGGTAGTCAGCAGTCAGCGTCACTAGTGATGATTGGAAATACTAATGCAGCAGCTGCAGATTCGATTCGCGGATGAAGTAAAGTAACGGGGACGATTTTACCACAATTGAACTAAATGTAGGAGCACATCTTCTAAACCACAGTAATATTTCTAAACTTTCGTAACGTGTCCTACGATTGGTCGCTTGCTACGAAAATTTCGTTGATGCTTTGACGCGTAAAGCTAGAGTAGGTAACTGAAACAGATTACGCTTCCGTTACGTTATAGTATTATCGTGTACGTTTTTTTATTAATATTTTTGTTTGTAATACTAATACTTAGAACCTGGGGGAGCGAATAAATAATAAATAAAATAAATATAAAAATAAAAATCAAACTATGCAGTCCATATTTTGGTTAGTAACAATTTGATCTTAGAGAAGGCGCACACCGTTGATTTTTCGTCGGCCGATAGTTTAGTCGGGCAGTTGATCAGTATGGGCATGTATGGGAGTGCGCACACTACGCCGATTCGATTTGGCCGATTCTTCATACAATTTAAAATCGGGCACAACTATCGGCCAACTAAAAATCAACGGTGTGCGCCTACTCTTAGAAAAACTACGTTAGTAGGGTTAGTAACAATGATCTTAGAAGTAGCTGAACTATCTTCATATTGCTTACAGCAGACCTAGTTTCCTCTTTTCCAATGAGCGCATGATGGGCATAAAGGCATTTAGACAAACTTCTTATAAGGTTTTATTCTGCCATTTTGTTATTACATACTTCTTCTTCTTTTTTGTGTCGACAACAAACCTACACAGTGTCAGTCCAAAATTCCGCCTCAAGCACTCATCAAATCCTCCTGAGTGCAGTTACTTGGGTACTCAGGGCAAGACATCAGGTGCTTCATCGACCAGGGAACAAAACCGCATACATTTATATTACATACTGCTAAACTACACTCAGCGGCACGGAATTTGGCCCAAGCCTAAACAGCCAGATATGAGGTTAAATAGGTGTTGTATACCTAAGTTTCATGTGACATGTTAACAGAACATTTGTTTTTGTTAATTTAAGAGCCTAGATTCTTAAAAAAATGCGTCTGTTTAACTTTTTTGACTCTAGAAACGCATTTCGTTGTCGGAGCGCAAAGAGTACGGGTAAGTTTAAATTCGATATTAAATGATGTAAGGGTTTGGCGTTTTCTTTTATGTTTTTGTATTAATTTTAGGGTTATTCTCGTTTCCATAATTTGAGAATAATGCCCATTACTCCAGCTCAAGTTGCTCTAATAGTGTTGCTTAGAAGTCAAAGGCGTATGCAGCGAGAGATGGCTGAAACTTTAAATGTATCGCATACAAACTTAAGATACACGTTAAAAAGGCATGACCAGATCGCCCTTTACACAAGAAGACCAAAAAGTGGGGAATTAAGGTGTATGTCAGCGCGCGATGACCAGATTATCGTACTTGCAATATCAATAAATTGGGTTCTCACTACGTTTGTGATACACCAGCGTTTACAAACAGCAAGCCCAGTGAATGTCACTGAGCATACAATAAGAAGAAGGATGGAGGAATATAACCTACATACTCTAAAACCAGCTCGAGTACTAGAACTTCGCCCATAACTTCACGAAGTGCGACTTACGTTTTCAAGAGAACATGCAAATTGGACGTTAGACTAATGGAGTAAACTCTTTATGAAAACTGTCTGTTTGCGTACTAACTCTTCTCTGCACCTTCTCCATACACTTCCACGGCCGTCTGAAGCTTTTAAGGTGCCTCTGCAATCATCCATCCATAGAACTTTACTCCATTAGTCTAACGTCCAATTTGCATGTTCTCTAGAAAACGTAAGTCGCACTTCGCGAAGTTATGGGAGAAGTTCTAGTCCTCGAGCTGGTCTTCGAGTATGCAGGTTATGTTCCTCCATCTTTCTTCTTATTGTGTGCTCTGTGACATTCACTGAACTTGCTGTTTGTAAACGCTGGCGTATCTCAACCGCAGCGAGAACCCGATTTCTTGATATTGCAAGTACGATAATCCGGTCATCGCGCGCTGACATACACCTTAATTCCCTACTTCTTGGTCTTCTTGTATAAAGGGTGGTCTGCTCATGCCGTTTTAATCCATATCTTAAGTTTGTACGCGATAAATTTTAAGTTTCAGCCATCTCCCGCTGCATACGCCCTTAAATTCTAAGCAACACTATTTGAGCAACTTGAGCTGGAGTAATAGGCATTTTTCTCAAATTATGGAAACGAGAATAACCCTAAGATTAATTTAAAAACGAAAAAGAAAACGCCAAACCCTTACAACATTTAATATCGAATTTAAACTTACCCGTACTCTTTGCGCTCCGACAACGAAATGCGTTTCTAGAGTCAAAAAAGTTAAACAGACGCATTTTTTTAAGAATCTAGGCTCTTAAATTAACAAAAACAAATGTTCTGTTAACATGTCACACGAAACATAGGTATACAACAACTATTTGGCCTCTTATCTGGTTGTTTAGGCTTGGGCCAAATTCCGTGCCGCTGAGTGTATTTCCCGCCACTGACACCCCTAGCACAAAATTCCTAGGTTTTTAAATGGGAAGAATCCTGGAACCAACCCTGATCTTTCCTGCCTTTTGCTCAAGGTTTCGGCTTCGTCATGCCCCTGGAAACTTCAATTATCACACATTAGGAGCTGAGGTCGTTATAAATGCCACAGCAAACTTTGGGCATTCGCGAGTGATGATTGTTGACAAGGCGGTGTTTACATTGATCTTTGAAGAAACGTTACCAAGTGCTGCATTTTCAAAAATGCTTCAAACGCATGTGAAGTCTCAGACAGTGGCGAATTTTCGTTCAA